ATATCCGCGCTTGAAATTAATTGACGCTGAGCAGAATCAATAACAAAACCAAAAGCGACAGGTTACCCTTGCTGTAGACTGAAAATACATAAAAACATTCAATGGATCAATAACTTCATCAACAACATTAATATAAGTTAATTAGCTACTTAGTTAAGTTATCATTATTAAACACCGGACATGTTTATAGTTGCTCAGATATGCCCTTCAGTATGAATCACAGCGTCCGTGGACAAACAGTACCAGTTAACAAGTCCTCTGAAATGCCTGGGGTGCTTCTCGTCTTTTGCTATGCCGATCTCAACTCCCAAGTCTATCATTCTGGCAAGTAATGTGGATTTACTGTCCATAAAGTCCTCCACCCTTTCCATTTCTCGGAGTGCATTCATGCACGATATCAGCATGATCTATAGGTTGACCGTTGGTAGTGATAACGGATTCAACCAACATATCAGCTCTTCCATTTCCATCGACGCTTGCGTGTCTCGGAACGAAAATAAAGGTGACTCCACATACAGTGGACTTCTGAAATGACTTAGCCACTGCCTTTCCACTGAACCTGCCTGAAACCTATGGAACATATTCATTGAATCACTGAGTACACATGCGCGGTCGTAGTTTTGTGTTTCCAGCCACGCAAACGCCTGCGTTACTGCGATCACCTCCATCATCATGGTGCTGGTTGTCATGGAGAAGGCGCCGTTTACTATATCAGAATACACAGCGGAGTACAAAACACAACTGCAGCCTATATCTCTAGTCAGAGTGCACAGTCTTATTGTCATGTAAGCGAGCGCACAAACACACTCGCCATACTCACACCCAAAATAAACACATTATATGCACGCTCACACACAATCGCATCCACTCACTCGCACTCACACACACACGTATACTCTCACATGCAAACTTTTAAACAAGCGTTCACGCATGCTAACTGGCACACCCACACACACACACACGCATTCACGTAAATAAATATACTTAGAAAGATAAAGGGACCGTTTTTCACACATGCAGACCTATTGGGGAAGGAGGGTTAAACCTATATTTTCAAAACCAACCAGCACTCTGTGTATGTTCAATATCATATCAGCCGCCTTTACTTTCCAGGACTATACTTAGTACCCAATCAAGGCTGGGTCGACCTGGGAGCATAGGTCTTGAAAAAAGAAAAGCAACAACTCCGTCAGGACATAAATCCATGACCTTCCGACCCGTAGGCAAGCCTCTAGCCGATACACCACGGCGGCGCCAAACACGAACATACTCATGTATAAGTAAAGGTTCTTAGCTTTAATGTGCCGGCAACCTCGGAATAGTGAAAGATAATTTTACTCTCCCATTCTCGATTCAATTCTGTTCGCGGCGCTGCCGCAAGTTTAGTTAATTGTCTCCGACTACACGTGATAACAAATACACTACGGAATCATCCATCCTAATCTGTGAAAGTAGTACCGGTATTTTGACTGATGTACAGACTGACTGACTGACTGACGTTCAACCCCACCAGGACCACATAACGAGAGATAAACACCCGGCGACACAAAGGGCCACCATTCGGATAAGAATCACCCTGGAATAAGTCCCAGAAACCTCCTTCAACCTTTATTTTATATTTAGGGCCCCTAACAATAACCGCGGTGGGGCTTTTAAATAGCAAAAACCCTTATTGCGTCCCTTATTGAGACTCAAGTGTAATTAATCATGTGTAGTACAGTCGCATTGTGTAACCTAACCTAATGAATATTTAAACTGATATGGGATACCATTATCGTCCCTAAAATTCGATATATAGTTTTAGTTGTGTGTCAATACCTGGCTATATACAATATGTATAGTCACAGATGAACAAAGGAAATTGTTTTGCTTCAGTTCCAAGCCTGTTTCTTCCAGCGCCCACAAATGTGACCGACGAAGCAACCCTATCCCACGACAAAATGCCAACTTTGGGAAACACTGGTCTTTAGACATCAAGGAAGACTTCAGCAACGTATAGTTCTTTAAAGGAAAAGGCATATTCATTCCCACTCCTATGCTACCAGTGCCAGGCGTGGTCATCCACAACAAAACATAAAAGAAACTTAGTAACCATGGAAGTTAGGTGTCTGAGAAAGGCTGTAGGAGTGACCAGAAGAAATAAAATCAGGATTGAGGTCATGCGAGATAAAGTCGGCACAGAACCAGTTCTAAATTACATAGAAAGACAGCAAATCAAATGGTTTGCCCACTTGAAGATAATGCCTTCTGATACTATACCATTCAAGGCATATACCAAAATAGGAGAGGGACGTAGAGCACGAGGTAGACCAAAAAACAATATGCAATATGTAGAGAAACTCTACAGTGCCACGATGTGTCTTTGGAAGTAGCAGTCAGAAAAGCACGAAGGAGGACCTTATATCTCCCTCGACAACCGAAGCGGTAAAAGATGACATGAAGAAGAAAAAAGGACGTTAAAATGTGAAGGTCTAAGTGACTGACTAACTAACTGACGTTCAGCCCCACCAGGACTGCACGACGGGTGATCAACATATGGTGAAACTAAGTTTTCACGTTTAGAATATAAGATATAAATAAACTCGGCTAGAACCACGTGCACGCCAGTCGGCAAAGTAATTGATGATGATGATGATTATATGATAACGATTATAAGAATGTTTCTGATTATGAAACATGTGGTAGCTGTGTTACATTTTAAAGCATTAAAAAACACAAGAACAAAATATGACAATTTCTGCACCTATGTGACTTAAATCAGCGCCATATTTACAAAGTTCAGACATTTTAAATTTGTGTGTGACATTTTCTTTACCTATTTACAGGTTCTCACACAGTAGATACTCTAACGTGACATTGGCTATACATTGTTAAACAATTATAACTTTTTGGTACTTACCTAAACTGGAACCACGAGACGTGGACCTCATTTTTGCATAGCTGGAGGGATTAAATTTACCAAAAAAAAATATTAACTCTCTCGGTATCTGCAAAAAATAGCTTTTTTCCCCATAAATTATACAGTCTGCAATAAAGCAGTATTTTAGAATTAACTCTTTGAGTCTAAAGGAATGCATCATACGTTAATAGGCTCCTACCTAGAAAAAACGCATGATACGCTGATTTTATTACTCTCTTTACTAACACCTGGGCCTGTGATGCTAAACCCCCTGGGACTCAAAGAGTTAATAGGTTAAAATACAATGCAACAGAAAGATCTAGGCTTGTAATTTAGATCCTGAGCAAAGGACACTTTTCCTCTCGTATAGGGCATATAGGGTAGACCTATATTTTATAGACCAATCGGCACAAGATCGGTGATATGGACAGCATCACATTGGTCGCCTTTACCTCCTGGGACTGCACCCAGTACCCACTCAAGGCTGGGTCGACCTGGGAGCCAAGGTCATTTTTGAAAAAAAGTCCGGCTCCTCCAAGGAGCAAACCCACGACCTTCTGATCCGCGGCGAGTGTAATTTAGACAGCACGAGTTGAAATAACTGGCTGCGATCGAAGTAAAATCAACAGTGTACTTTATTTAGACTAAATAAACGTGTGCTGAGCTTTGTTATCACTTGGTTTCTTGTAATGTGCTTATTGTCTTTGTCAAAATTCACCACTTTATTGGTTAGAAAGTGGTAATTACTGGAAAACTGTGTCTCTTTTGCTTCGAAAAACATTGCCCTACTTGGTTCGAAAATCGTCCAGTTTGGTTTAAAAAGAAAATTTTATGTGGTTTGAAAATTGTCTAGTTGGATTTAAAATATGTCCTATATTATTGGAAAATTGTCCAGTTTAATTTGAAAAAATGTCCAGTTTAGTTTAAAAAACATCCTAGGTGTTTTGAAAAACATCCACTTTGCTTTGAAATTTGCCTAAGTTGACTTGAAAATCGTCAAGTTCGGTTTGGAAAAAATATTTTATGTGGTTTGAAAATTGTCCAGTTTGATTTTATAAAAAAAAAAAAAAAAAGTCCTAGTTGGTTTAAACATCGTAATTGTCTTGTTCAGTTTGAAAAAGGTACATACATATGTGCAAGGGAATCATATATACAAAGAAGTGAAAAATAAAAGAATATCAACATTAAAGTCCCAACTGGTGTGATCTCTAGTGTAATAAAGATGCCGCGCTCGCGTGTGTGTGCGTGCGTGCCTGCGTACCTGCGTGCGTGCGTGTGCATGTGCGCGTGTGCGTGCGTGCGTGCGTGTCTGTGTATGTGTGTGCGCGCGACCAGCCTGATAATTAGTTAATAAGACTGTATTATGGTGAAATCAAAAACGGCATTCTTGAAGCATAGCATGTCATCCCAATCTAAGACATGACAAAGCTGAGACGTGTCCTGCCAGCAGACGACAAGTAACCCGACATTTTGCTTAGCTAGTGAAAGTTGCTCCGCTGCGTATGCAGCACGGAACCAAACGTGAACATAAACTATTGTTCAAAGCTGTAGACTGCTCCTTAGATATCTGAATCGATGAGATAAGTTTAAAGGGATTAATGTTATCAAATTCAACCTCAGAATCATCTTCCGTCATTCTCACATATGATATCGGTCGTTGCGTATCTGTTCTTCGATTCTGACAATAACTTTTTGCAACTATTTATTGAGATTTCCAATTCCCTCATCAAAATGCCTGCATGTGGCATCACTAACATACTGAGATTTCCCATTCTCACAACAAAATGCCTGCAAATGGCATCACTTATTTACTGAGATTTCCCATTCATGCAAAGAAATGCCTGCATATGGCATCACTAATATACTGAGATTTCCAATCCACGCAACAAAATGCCTGCATATGGCATCGCTATCGGATAGCACAGCGTCTAGTCGCTTGCATGCAAATCTAGATAAGCACCATTTGAGGGGATAGCGGAGGGCATGGCGCTGGTTAAACATCTACTGAGGGCCGCTCAGTCTGATTAAACATTTCAATAGTTTCGTTAAAATAAAAACAACAACCCAGGACAAGAACTACCAGTCGAAGCCACCTACTTGCATGACAGAGATGATACTTCTTGTTTAGCCGCATTCAGCAAGGGGTATTTTCCCTGTTTGCAGAAGTGGCCATTGAAATCATCGAAATCTAAAGTCCAGAACAGTATTCCCCCATATCCATTGCTTTTTGCATAACAGGCCTGAAAGAGACATTGGTTTATACGATAAACACATTCACATGTGCAGTATAGATAACACTAAACTGCTAATTTATTTGGTAATTCATAAAAGTAACTGTTTATTGATGACCATTATTACATTCACTAAACCTCCTTATATAATAAAATCCAATCATCTCCTTGTGAATTGCAACTTCTGTTGTTTGAAACCCTACTCTAGCTCTTGCCAGGGGCCGCAATATAGCCCGACCATAAATATGGTCTAATGGTTTCTGGGACCTCTCCACGGGTGATCCTCATCCACATGGTGGCACTTTGTGTCATCGGGTGTTTATTGCTTGTGTGATGTCCTACTGGGGTAGGAATCTACTACTACTAACTGACGACATGGTCATGATATCGGATACAGATATGAAACTAACAGCATCTTACCTCTGTAAATGACGAAAAGAAAACAAGTAAAATGATAAGCAACAAAGTGAATTGCTAGAAGTAGTGTTAATAGAAAAAAAAAAAAAAGAAGAAGCAGAATCGTAATTTAACAGTACAGTGCACATGCATTAAACAAGCCTCTGAGTTTATATCAGGAAAACGATCACTGAGGATGGTAAAGTGGATAAAGTTTAAAGTTTGAGTTGAGTAGAGTTGAGTTAATTCAAGAACCGACATCACAGCACTCGGTGCATTCCCATAAGCGCTCCATCCCCATCCCCAGCAGCCAGTGAAGAGCTCAAATACTAATGGTGCCAGTAGCATTCTGATTAAACGTCCGTCTTGCCTTTCCTCTAAGCCTCGAGCATTTGCCAGAACCGCTCGTCACGCCCCGCTGCATCGATCTCACCAGACTGTGGTGATCCATCTGCTCCTCCAAACTGTACACGCTCTCCCATAAGACACTAACCACGTCTGCCTTATCACGCATCCGTATTCTACCAAGTTGTGCAGAGCTAGCCAGTCTGTCTGTCCGCCTGTTCATTTCCCAATACACCGGCGTGTCTTGGTGAACAAATCCAGACAATACTACTCACCCGATGAGGGGAAATACTAGAAGTCCAAATCTACCTGAAAAAAATCAAACCTCTACCGGAGATTAAACCCGAAAACTCTAACACTCAAGGCGGACAACATGCCTCGAGACCACGCACAACTTCTGTTAAAGTGGGTAAGGCAATATATATCCGATGCAGTAAAGCAAACCAAGCCCTGTGACAGCTAGCCCACATCGTTCAGCATCAAACAATCCCCATTAGCACAGAAAAATATCTCATACACAGTATATAAATTCCCACTATATGCTGCCAGTTTCAGATGAGGTAACTCACAACAAAAACGAATTGCAAATTGGTACCACAGAAATGAGATAACTAAGGAAAGTTGCCGAAGTGATCATAATCGATACAGTCAAGAATGAGGTCATAAGAGAAATAAAACGAGTTCTAAATAACACAAAAAGAAAGCAAATAGGTGGTTAGAACACTAATAGAAATTGCCTTGCGACGGCAAACCACGCACATTAACAAATGAAAATGTCGTAGGAACTTAGGTAGACAAATAACCCAGTGGCATGGATACCATCAGTGAAACTGACAATATGCTGTGTTTATGATCCAGGTGGTCTGAAGAGCCCAAAGCAGAACTTTTTTTAACTCGACACCCTAAGCAATAAAAAAGGTAGTGGAGGAGGAGGAGGAAGGTGAGGAGAAGAAACCGGAGAAGATGAGGAAAAGAAGAAGAAAAAGGAAAAGAAGAAGAAGAAGAAGAAGAAGAAGAAGAAGAAGAAGAAGAAGAAGAAGAAGAAGAAGAAGAAGAAGAAGAAGAAGAAGAAGAAGAAGAAGAAGAAGAAGAAGAAGAAGAAGAAGAAGAAGAAGAAGAAGAAGAAGAAGAAGAGAAGAAGAAGAAGAAGCAAGAAGAAGAAGAAGAAGAAGAAGAAGGAGAAGAAGAAGAAGGAGAAGATGAAAAAGAAGAAGAAGAAGAAGAAGAAGAAGAAGAAGAAGAAGAAGAAGAAGAAGAAGAAGAAGAAGAAAAAGAAGAAGAAGAAGAAGAAGAAGAAGAAGAAGAAGAAGAAGAAGAAGAAGAAGAAGAAGAAAAGACGAAGAAGAAGAAAAAGAAGAAGAAGAAGAAGAAGAAGAAAGAAGAAGAAGAAGAAGAAGAAGAAGAAGAAGAAGAAGAAGAAGAAGAAGAACGAAGAAGAAGAAGAAGAAGAGAAGAAGAAGAAGAAGAAGAAGAAGAAGAAGAAGGAGAAGATGAAAAAGAAGAAGAAGAAGAAGAAGAAGAAGAAGAAGAAGAAGAAGAAGAAGAAGAAGAAGAAGAAGAAGAAGAAGAAGAAGAAGAAGAAGAAGAAGAAGAAGAAGAAAAAGAAGAAGAAGAAGAAGAAGAAGAAGAAGAAGAAGAAGAAGAAAAAGAAGAAGAAAAGAAAAAGAAGAATAAGAAGAAAAAGAAGAATATGAGGAAAAAGAAGAAGATAAAGAAGAAGAAAAAGCAGAAGATTAAGAAACATAGCTCAGGACAAACAAATGCTAGATATACGAACAGTTGTGGAGGGTCTTAATCAAGTCATTGCCAGAATACCTTTTACACTAAAGATAAACCTACGTATAATCTATGCACGTTGCGTTCATTGAGCTACTATGAAGGAACTTTTGACATCCAAACATAAATATAAGTGAAAATAAAATTTAAAAAAAATGGTAAACAGCATAATTCATACAGACATTGAGCTACCTGTGCCAAACATGGAAATTATCTAAATCTCACAATCGGAAAAATGCAAAATCACCACTTGTGGATAACATGCCTGGGAAAAGCCGGCAGCCTAAGCATCTGAGATCGAGTGTATAACGATACCATCTAATATAATGGGAATAACAAATCAACTTGTTTTTGCGAGCTCGTTGGAGTGCATCAACACAAATTACTACCACCGTCACTGAATGCTATATGATAAGCTGCAAAAGCAAGAGGGTGGAGCGAAAAATGTGTATTAACAATAGTAAAGACACTTTATGCCAACATAGCATGACAATAGCGAGTGCCTGCCAACGCGCACTGCATGGCATATATACCTCCCCACGTCCCTTAACGTCAGAAGTGGCCTATTATTATTATTAGTAGTATATTACACTATTAAATAGGAATCGGGCCACTTAAGGGCTCATAGAAAAGATGTAGAGACCCAGCCCTCCCCGCTCCACCCCCAGCCCGTCCCCTTTTTCACACTCACCCCAACCAAATTCCCTTCTGTCGCGACCTCTCCAAAACTTGTCCTTGCTTCTGCTCACTATTTTGATACCATAAGCACCTGAACACACTGTCAGATGAACACCCTTCTACTCACCTTTGCCTTTACGCTGGCAACGTCGTCATAGCCTACCCAATGGGTATCCTTAAAGGCGTATGGATTGCCCTGAGACGGGACATTTACAACTGTTGCACTTTCGTTTTTAATGAACTCGCAAATCTGAAAGGTGACAACATTTCATATCAAATTAGAGCGATATATATATATTATATAATATATATATATATATATATATATATATATATATATATATATATATATGTATATATATGTGTATATATATATATATATATATATATATAGATATATATATATAATATATATATATATATAATATATGATATATATATATATATATATATGTATAGATATATATATATAGATATATATATAATATATATATATATATATATATATATACTATATTCTTCTCCTCCTTTCATCACTTCTACTTCTTTCTTTCTCCTTATCCTCTTCCTGTCCTTTTTTTTCCCTAATCATCTTTCTCCTCTTTCATCTCTTCCATTTTAAATTAGTAAGTTAGTTAGTTAGTTAGTTAGTTAGTTAGTTAGTATGTTAGTTAGTTAGTTAGTTAGTTAGTTGGGTTATCCTCAGTGCACTCCGGACATGTCCATAGGTGCTCAGATCCTCCCCTCAGTATGAACCCCAACGTCCGATGGCTAATAGTACCAGTTCTATGTTGATCAACAAGTCTTCTGGCGTGTCTGGTGTGCGTCTCGTTTTTCGCTATGCCGATCTTAATTCCCAAGTCTGCCATTCTGGCGAGTGATGTGGATTCACTGCCACCAAAGTCCTCTATCCTTCCCATTTCTCTGTGGGCATTGATAATATCAGCATGATCCATAGGCTGACCGTTGGTAGTGATAGCGGATCCAGCCAACCTGTCAGCTCTTTTTTTTTCCATCGACACCTGCGTGTCCCGGAACAAAAATAAAGGTGACTCCACGCACAGTGGACTTCTGTAATGATTCAAGCCACTGTCTTCGCACTGAACCTGCCTGAACCCTCCATTTCCATTTTAAATTTTCCTCGCCATCTTTTAGGACACACATTTCTGCTCTAGTTTTCTATTCTATGACACTTTAACTTTTATAACAAACATACAGTGTTCGCACATATAAGTAAAATTGGTTATGTTTGTCTCTTGCATATGTGTGTTTTTCTCAGTATTATTTATGCATGGTTCAAAACAACCACTATAGATAAGTAGTTCCTCTGTTTGAATATTTTAATCTAACAGAGATACACATATAAGGAGCTATCCTTGCTACCTGATGTCCGTATCGTATTCCTGGGTCATCGGCCCAATCTATTAAAATAAAAAAATACATAAAGGTTTCAGTCAGAGCATGGGGACTTACAGGTGACACACCAGGGTAGGGGAGGCCTCTCTGAACCGATACTCACATCGGATATACCATAGGGAAAAGGACAAAAGACAACAGATGAGAAAGATAGCACATGAAGTAGCACTACGTATCAATAGAATTACGGCAGTATGTCTATGGATATCCATGTGTACAAATATCGGCGTCTGTGGCTTAGGGGTTGTGAACGAGCTTCGAAATGCCGGAGTGCCAGGCTCGATCCCAGCTGTGGACGATTTGTCTTGTGTTAATTTCGACAGTGGTACCGAGAACTGACCGTTAAGAAAGCAATGGCAAACCAATGAACGCAAAACGTCTAGTAAAACCATAGGAGCCAAAGAATAATGGGGTTGGTACTACAACGTCATGTAAATGATACGCAACTAACTTTATATGTACAAATATTCAAATTCACTCCAGTTTTAAAACCAAGCTACGTGTTTTCACATTCTGATTCTCTTTCAGTTCCAGAAAGTAGAAGCTAGAGAAGCACTATAGGCATAGAGTTAAATTAATTCTAACACAATGCCTGTGAAAAAAAGCCGATGTACCAGAATGAGTGGAAAATGTCACTAGTTTACATAACTGTAATGGTTTCTTTTGCTTTACTCTCTTTATTCCTCTTTAGTATACACTGATTCTTGTGTCTTCATTTTAAGCTAGCTAAGACCTCTTTCTCTATATGGGGTATGTTTAAATTACAGATACTTCCTTAATTTTGATAATTAAAGTGTTTAGTAGACTCATTGGTCCTTGCAGGTGATGCGGCCTCTCGTGCTCTGTATAGGAATAAACTCACAGGGAGCAAGTACAGCAGGGATCTACCAGTCGTCAGTAGAAATTATCCTCGTCAACGAGCGTTTCGGCCAACTATTCCTAGACGCTTTCGGGGGTGGGCCCACCTGAGTACATGAAGCTCAGGGCTGTTTCCCTGCTGCACGAAATTACCAGATGGTGTTTTTCTTTCGGCCAGAGACAAGACGACTTGGTGGTTTCGCAGAAGGTACTGTGAGATAAGAAGTCGTCGCGGCAGCCTAATTAGAACAGTCAGCGTGCCTGGACGACCGAGCGACAAGCTTACGATTGGTTTACCGGACACATGTTGGACTTTTGTTAGCAGGTGGCAGAGGAACACTGGCAGACAATTCGGACATGATGGACTTTCAAAGGGTGGGAAACCCTTTTCCACTAGAGACCCGGACCAGCTCATCGAGGCCCGTCCCCTACGTTGTTGCGTTGCGTCCAAAGCCAGCTAGAGGCCCTTTCGGCTACCTCTCCCAGTTTTTTTTTTCTATAAATGATCAACCGCTGTTCGGAAGGAGAAGTTGTACCAGATGGAATACGAGTTTACTCAATAAAGAATTTAAACGCCAAGTTTTTAAAATATGGTGATTTATCTTGCATGAAAAAGGGGCACACATCTTTGGCAGAACTGACGATTGCTTAAAACTAACATAGCTTGCTACTTACATTTAAATTCACCCTAAACAAACCTGGTATCTAAATTTTATCACGGTTTAGGTTCAGGTTTTGGGGGTTAGGGTTGGTGTTAGGGTTTAGAGTAAGGTTCAGGTTTATCAGACCACACATTAGATAAAGACAACTAAAATGAACAGCAAAGGAAAACACATTGATTTCAAGTGAAATATTTGGACTACATCGGAAATACCCGGATTTCTTTTGTTTGAAGTGAATTAAAATTGCAGTACCGTGTACTACCTGTGCGCCCCCCCCCCCCATTATTTGTTGCTCGTCGCATAGGCGGCGGAAAACTACAAATTTACTACATTCTGTAATGTATTTGTAAGGGCTGACACCCTCTTCCCCCGTTTCCGCCCCTCACCACCACAACCACCCCATCCCACTTAACTTCACCAGTCTATGGTGATATTTCAATGGTTTGGGATGAATAATGTTGGTATTCCATAATGGTGGATTTCAGGCTCTACGACGGACATGGTCAGTGAAGACACCTTTTTTTAAGGCGTGCCTGCTGGTTAAGTTTTTAGTACTCGTGTTTTTATAGCAAGACTCAAATGCCATATCGAGCTGACAAGTCCGATTAGCGGCACAGTAACTATAGCTTTCGATTTTTCTTGTGTGTAGTGTGTCCTTCTATCTTTCTACTTCTTTCTATGAAAAAAGTATAGGACCCTTTTTCACGCCCTTAGGCATATTGGGCATATATGGCTAGACTTATATTTTATAGACCAACGGCACAAGATGGATGATGTGGTAAGCATCACGCCGGCCGCCTCTACTTCCCAGGACTGCACCCGGTACCCACTCAAGGCTGGGTCGACCTGGGAGCCAAGAGAAGTCTGGCTCCGCCAGGGAGCGAACCAACGACATTCCGATCCGCGGCGCGCGTCTAGCCGCTCTGCCATGGCGACTCCCTTTTTTTCTCTGAGTGCCAATGAATACATTGTATTTTTGGGGGGTAATATTTAATGTTTCTACGGCCTCAAAGGTTTTCCTCTGTTTATTTACGTCCACTCCAGCTTCACGTTTACTTTGCGTCCTCTTCCTTGGCGGACGCACTTGGTTCTTTTTTTTTTAAAATTATTATTGGGTACTGTTAAAAAAAAGGAAATGTCCCTTTTCTACGTTTTTGGCGTATAGGGCATATAGGGCTAGACATACATTTTTAAAGACCAATCGGGACAAGATGGGTGATGTGGTCAGCCTTCACTTCCCGGGACTGCATCTGTACCCACCAAAGCCTGGGTCGACCTGGGATTCAATGTAATTTTCACTGGCTACCGAGCTAAGGAATATTTTGACGACGCTGTTTCCGACATTTGCCTAAAAGTGCATTATTGAGTTCAATCTACTTCGAGGAGAAAAAACAGATAATTCTAGTGAACGTATTTACCTCGTAATACGCCATGATCCCTGCTTCACGACTGTAGGGGTACCTCCTTCCTGCACCTGCAGCTGGAGACAGAATTGAGTGATCGAAGGTCTCCACTAATTGAAAGGAGCGTCCGTAAGTAGCTATTCCAATATTGAGTTTCTTCTTTGGGGCTCCAAGAGACACGTAATATCGAGCAGCCCAGTCCTGTCACACCGGCAAGATACAAACATGTGATGTAAGTCATGTACAATTATACATTGTGGACAACGCTACATTTATGTAAAAAGGCAAAGTCGGGAGGTGTGAACAAGCGTCATTGAACACGGTTATAAACCATAAGTGCTCTGCCACCAGTACGGACAGCTAAGAAGAATTGTCCGCCTGTGTCGCCGTTCGCACGTAACTCTGTAGCTACAGCGACGTTCCTCCATTTACCCCAGAGTGTCTACTCTGGTACCCATTTCCTAGAGGCTGGGTGAACCCCGGGAACAGCCCGGTTTCGAACACCGACCGTGGCTGCAGAGAGTCGCACTGGATTCGATAGCGAGCCTCTTATCGACTGCACTAACGCTGCCCCCTATGTTCAGCGATCTAAGGTTTAAAGACTCATTGCTTACATGAATTTAAGCTAATACAGTAGCAGATACTACTAACGCAAAGAAATAAATAGTAAGCAATAGATGAAATGGTAAGGAACCAAAAGAGAATACGCGCAGAGCAATAGGTAAAACATGCAAATGATGTAACAACAACATCTAGAAAGAATAAAGAAACAAAGACCTGATAAAACAAACCATTGACAATAGCACACAAGCGATACTATGGCCTATCACCGAAGTCTCGCAGAGGTAACCTGGGGATGTAGGGAAGGGGGTGGTTCGAAGAATATGATTATTTTGGAATGTAAATTTTAGGTCTAGTCGCAAATTACAGATTACATGGGTGCTTCACAAACGGACATAGTTGGAGGGGAGGGGGTAGGGGGTGGTGTCTGCGAGGAGACCTTCCCCTATATATTACTAAGAAGTCGAAGCAGCACCCTTTATCCATGTACAGAATATTTCATTTATTTTAAATGAAATCTTATATACCCCGTTACCCCCCCCCCCTTTTTTTCCCCCCAACCACCCCCACCCCCGCCTTTTAAACCTAGTAACTGTTTCAGGGAGGGATGAGCTGTGCTCAGTGTATTTTTGTGTCGGAGCCACATTATTTTCAAAGAGACTTAGCAGACTGTGAACACACGTGAATAAAACATCCAGGCTAGGACACAAGATAAGGGTCCACCCCTCACCAAGTCATTTCTGGGGACTGGCAGGTTTAAAAACGTTAATGCAAGACATCACAAGCAAAAGCAGTATTTCTCACCAACAGCTAAAACTTATGAACAGTCTGGCATTAAGTCAGGAAGAATAACCTGTATCAGAAATTACAGAAACTACACAAGAGAGAATGCTGTGGAGAAGAAACGTAATTATCAACAGCATACGGCATAGACTATAAGAAGTCAACATGATATTCATTATTGTTATTTTTTGAAGTATTATTATTATTATGGAAGCCGCCGTGGTCTGGTTGCTAGACGGTCTGCTGCGGGTTGGAAGGTCATCGTTTCGTGTCCTGAAGTAGGCCGGAATTTTTTTTTAAATGACCTTGGTCTCAGGTCGAACCAGCCTTGAGTGGGTACCAGGAACAGTCCAGGAAGTAAAGGCGGCCATCGTGATGCTGACCACATCGCTCACTAAGTGTGGTTTGGTAAATAAAATATAGGTCCAGACCTTCATGCCAAAAACGCCTAAAGTCGTGGACAAGTGAACTTTACTATAACTATTATTTTTCTATTATCTGTAAATATTTATTTGATAAACAGATTGGAACAATTGTTTTTAAAAGGGCAAAGATGTTAAACGAATACTGTTACTGTACACGGTTACTAGGCACGAATTGGCAACATGAAAATCTATAGGGGCATCCTTCTCTTACCACACCTCCGGTTAGTCCTCGAGTGTTATATTTTGAAGTAGGAACTGACATTACAACACTCTATAATTATCATAAGTTCTCTGTCCTCATCTTCAGCAGCCAAACGAATAGTTCCAATTCCAATGGTGCCAAAAGAGGCAGAAGACGTATGGAAGAGAGAGAGAAAGGAGAGAGGAGTGAAAAGGAGTGAGGCAGAGAGAAATGGAATGAACAAAAAGACAGACAGGGACTCGGATAGCGAGAAAGAAAGAAAGAAAGAAAGAAAGAAAGAAAGAAAGAAAGAAAGAAAGAAAGAAAGAAAGAAAGAAAGAAAGAAAGAAAGAAAGAAAGAAAGAAAGAAAGAAAGAAAGAAAGAAAGAAAGAAAGAAAGAAAGAAAGAAAGAAAGAAAGAAAGAAAGAAAGAAAGAAAGAAAGAAAGAAAGAAAGAAAGAAAGAAAGAAAGAAAGAAAGAATGAAAGAAAGAAAGAAAGAAAAAGAAAGGAAAGATAAAGTTACATACCACATTGAGACGTCTCTGGTCCGTATTCTCCGTGGGATAGGGATATAATGGTGAGTTGAAGCCCAGGTAGTTCTCCCATGCTCCATGAAGGTCATAGCTCATTATAGAAATGAAATCTACGACGCTGGACGAGCAAAACATACATGTGGAGATTAGTGTGTGTGTTTGTGTGTGGGAGAGAGTATATATATATATATATATATATATATATATATATATATATATATATATACACACACATATATATATATAGTATATATATATATATATATTATATATATATATATATATATATATATATATATATATATATATATATATATATATGATTGTGTATGTGGGATGTGTGTGAGTGTTTGTGTATATATCTCTCTCTCCTATACAAACAAAAATGTACATGTATTTGTTAGTGATAGCTAATCTCAGAATGTTCTTTGCCAATTGCTTTAAAATTCTGAAAAAAAAACGTTGCATTCGAAATGGCGATTGTTATTATATAACATATCGCACAAACCACGAATTACCTAGCTCCAGCGACTATCACATTGGCATTTTGGTTTTTTCCCGACGATCCGATTTTTTTTTTTTTTTTTGTATTTTCCGGCTCGGGTTTTATTGGTAGGCCAACTTTGACTCCTCAGCAATCTACATTAAGATGTCTGCCGAAAGCCCGAACTTCATAATTCCAGTGACAATCACATCGGCATCTTTGTTTTGTTTTTAGGATGGCAAATGTACAGTTTCAAATATACCTACTTGCGTATATACTTACACGTATACACACGAACATATACATACACACTATTGAAAACATAGGCGAACGATCTTCATCTTCAAAGAATGACAAACTGGACATGTTGGCTCATTCACATTCGGTCCTTACAGACATAATCTTTTACACCACAGTTGTATGTTATCGATAAAGAACGTTAGTTTATATAAAATTACCATAATAAATGTCAAGTTAACCCCCACCCCACCCCCCTCACCCCCACGCCACTCCCCCTCGAAAAAAAAACCGCATCGATAAAGAGAAAGAAAGAGTTAAGTTGTGGGGTAGAATGTGGGGGGAGGTGGTAAATACAGTAACACCCATGTACTCACTTTGCCAGTTTTTGAACCTCATAGCCATTATCGATATTCTCTTTCCCAGCAGGGACTGCAACTGTCAGAAGGAGTCGCTGCCTGCCAGTTGCCTCAGCTTCATGATCGAATGTTCGCTTTAGCTCCTAAAGTCAAATATAAACAATGCCGAGGCACAGATAGATCATTACGGTCTGAGGAGAATGGCAAGGCGAGAAGTTACACGGGGATCTTGCCGACGCTCGACACTCAGTGGAAAGGCGAGACGGATATACACTCAAATAGTTACTGGTACCATTGGAATTTTAGCTCTTTGCTTGTTGCTGAAGATGGGACGGGGCGATAATGGGGGTTGTCCCGAGTTCTGTGATGTCGATTCTCCATTTAACATTCAACATTTATTCAAACATATTTTTTTGCTCCTAATTCTGCAGTGTTCAGAAATCAACGAATACTAATAGCTAACACACTGAGATTGTGATGTCCTTCAGACAGAATTTGTGGTTTTTTAATTTTTATTTTGGTTGCTTCTGTTCTACGTTTTTCCCCCACCAGGCGCCTTTAAAAGTCGGTTGGCCCGTTTTATTGTGGTTTACAGATAGGCTGTGATATATGTGCCTTTCAGCTTAGCAAATCCTATTTCAGTGAATGCCTCATTAGTCACCTTTCACAGCATGCTTATCTGTGCCGCAATATAAGTAAAGTTAAAAAAAAATAAAGGATCTTTTTCACGCCTTTAGGCGTATAGGGCATATAGCGCTAGACCTATATTTTTATAGACCATCGGAACAAGATGGGTGATGCGGTCAGCTTCACGTGGGACGCCTCTACTTTCCGGGACTGCACCTGGTACCCACTCAAGGCTGGGTAGACCTGGGAGCCAAGGTCATTTTTGTGTGTGTAAAAGTCCGTCTCCTCCAGGGAGGGAACCCACAACCTTCCGATCCGCGGCAAGCGTACAGCCGCTCTGCCACGGGGACTCCCACCGCAATATATTCCGTTTTTATTGCGTCTTTCCATCCCTCTGCAACAACAATAAATGGAGCCCACGTTGGCGATTACTGTTCCGTTTGGCCTTTTCACATACTCACAAGAATATGATATTTTCTTCCTTTCTGTTAAACTCATACCCCGATGGTCACTGCATCCTTTTGCTCCACTCAGAAATCCTACCCGAATGATCATAGATCTGCAATAGTTATTGACGGTGAAGAGCAGGTTCCATTGACCGGTTTACATAACTGGGACGCAGGGTCAATAGCAAACTATCACTGGACACAAAAATCAACATCAGGATAAGTAAGACAAGAACTAATGACGCGCAGCTTAACCAAATGAGTATGGAAGTAACTGAACGCTCATGGTTAAAACAAAAACATGTGTTCTGAGCATTTTACTTACTATAGAGAAGCTTGGTATATTTACTCGTACTAAAAGAATCGTGTAAAACGTGTTCAAACGTGCTGCTTTCGAAGAACAACTGTCATTAAGTGAAATTTACACTAACCATCACTACCAAACTCATCAAGTGGATGTTGTCAGAAATATGTCAGTTAAGTAATGCCGGTATTCGAGTCTGTTCGTCTGGTTTTGTTATTGTATAAAATGTGCTGATGAAGACTTTGTAGCCGCAACGTTCACTTTCCGTTTGTGTTTTGTTACTTTGCCAAGTTTGCTGCTCTACTTTTCGTTTGGTTCTATATCTTGTTATTAAGACAAGATTACACATTTGATGTACGGGAACAAGTAAACATGGACCATTTTCTCAAAGCTCAGTCTCAGTTGCCTCGGAAAGCTATGGCACACTTGGAGAATAGAGGATTTAAGTCCGACAAGACATCAGTTATGATAAACTGCAGACGAGTAGAAGACGTGTAGGTCGGTCAACACTACTATAAAAATATTTGTGAAACGGAACTTCAGTGATCAAGGCTTTATCGAAGATGCTCCCTTACAGACATCTGTAATGACGGCAAAGAGCGAAAACATATTAGTGCTTGCGCGTGTGTATTAGTATGCACTTTTTTGTTCGTGTGATAGTGACAAGAAACATTACCTCCATGAGCAGCTGAAACCTGGCCTTGTCGCCGCTAGGACTACCCCGTGCTGCAGGGTATTCCCAGTCCATATCAAAACCATCAAACTGCCTTTTGCGAAGAAATGCCAGTACATTCTCTGAAAACCTGAGCCTCGATTCCTCTGTCTGTACTAGTGGTATAAAGGGTTCGGATCCCATATTATAGCCTCCTGCAGCTAGGAGTACTTTCAGGCCTGGCTTTTTACTTTTGATTTTAATAACTCGACGATACCTAGAAACAAAGAGGTAAAAGGTAAAGTCGGGAGATGTGAACCAGCTTCATTGCACACGTTTATGAACCATAAATGCTCTGCCATCAGTACGGGCAGCTGATAAGAAACTGTCTGCCTGTGTCGCCGTCCGCACGAAACTCTGCAACTACAGTGACTTTCCTCCATTTACCTCAAAGTGTTAACACTGGTACCCATTTCTTAGAGGCCGGGTCAACCCCTGGTAATGCCATATTTCGAACATCGACCATGGGCTGCAGCGAGTCGCAGCTGGATTTAAAAGCGAGTCTCCAATCGACTGCCAAAACAGCAGGGGGGGGGGGGAGGTGGTAACGGGCAGTTAACACACCACAAAACGGGACAGCTAGTTGCTCACTTCCTGTATGTCTGTATTTATACATTTATGTGTATTTATACATGTGTATGTGCTATTGCAAGTGAAATGGTTTGCCCACTTAGAGAGAATGCATTGTGACACCATACCATACAAAGCATACATGGAAAGAGAAGAAGGACGTAGAGCACAAGGTAGACCAAGAACAAGATGGAAGGATAACATCAGAGAAACTCTACAACAGCACGACGTGCCTATGGTCGAGGCGGCCAGAAGAGCTAGAAACAGAACCTTATATCTCCCTCGACACCCACAGCGGTAAAAGAGGAAGTGAAGAAGAAGAAGAAGTATGTGTTATTGCAACGTGCTGTGAATTTTAGGATTTTACTTTATTCCCTGACAGAAAAAGAAAAAAATTCCCAAACTACCAAAGTTTTGAACCCGAGTCGCCTGTATCTTAACCTTTTTTCTAGCCGCTTTCCGAACCAGTAGGCGTACTTGGCATATAGGGCTATATTTAATAGACTAAACGAGTCTGGGTGGGTGTGGTGGTCAGCTTCACGCCGGCCACCTATACTTCTCATGACTGTACGTGGTACCCACTCAAGGCTGAGACGACCTGACAGTCAGTGTCACATTTTTTTAGTGTCACGTCCATTAGCTTGTCACTCTGATCGTAAAGGCAGTCAACAAATACTACTACCGCAGCGACAATATAACGTCAAACCTCACAGCACCTGTTGCAAAGTCACCGTATTGTCTCTTTCCTATGAGTCGGATAAAGTGCAGAAGGAGAAGATCGGGAATTGGCTTGAAGACCCAGGTCTGCCCACCTTCCGAGATTATTTAGGAAAGCAATGGAGCGAAACAATTGCCCACGAAGGATCTCTACTTATGACCGGTGGACCTCTGCTGTGCATGCTAACGTGTGGAGTTCTTCTCACAGTTGCCTTCTAGGCGGCAGTGTGTTTAATCTTATCCTCCCTTCTCCAGCTTTCGCCCTCTTAACCCGAGTCCTCGGAATATACCAGGGCAAGCTTTTGAACTTGTTACAATAGACTGGCTATAACGCAACACGTACTGGGAAAGGATCGTAAATTAACACACTATAATAATTTCCTTACAATTTAAAATGTACTATGCATACGGTTAGTAGAAAGAGACCCTTCTTTTTTAACAGGCAAACATAGAACATTTGGTGCTAGACCACTCGGCACTAAGTGGATAATGTAGACAACATCCTGCTGACTGCTTTCATTTCCCATGACCTTTCCCATGAAATGTATACTAGATAGACATGAGATTCACATAAGTGTGTTTTCCCACATCCACTCTATTGTGACTCGAACCAACAACCTTCAGGCCTTCAGGTGATTATCTAGACACTGCGCTGCCGGGGCTCCTGTGGATGTATCACTGTCTCACATCTCTCCGTTCACTTGTCACTAGATGTGCTATCTTGCCAATTTTAGGAATTCATTTTGTTCAATTCCTGAATAATTACCTGATAATCATTTGAGACTGGCCTCTTAAAACACTGTTTAGCGTTTCGTGTTTGTTTCAAAGCAATCCCAGACTAAAACCATTTAAGCAAATGATTACTGTGTCGATAGGCATGTACAACTTGTATGCCACCAGCCGTGCCAATTCTTGTTCAACATATAACTGGAAACTGTTCGAACATCATCTGAGCCTGCTTAGCTTTAAAAAAGAAATGGCATACATATCCCCTAGATCAGTGTTTTCTAAACTTTTTTTAGTCGCAGCGCCTTTTTTTTTTTTCAATTAAAATGTTTTCCACTGCGCCCTTACGTAAGTAAAAGTATTACTATTCGTATGTAAGAGATTGAAACAAATAAAACTCGTGTATCTTCGAATCTTTCGCAGCGCCCCTGTGAAGAGGTCGTGGGTCCCCGGGGCGCCGCAGCGCACAGTTTTAGAATCACTGCCCTAGATCTATTAAATTACTATCGTTTACTTTGTCTGCACATTAAGTAATTCAAGCAGATACGACTGCCTACATGCAATACTTAGCTGCTGTCGTCAAAGTTTACTATCACTTCTTACTTATAAAAAAAGAAGAAGAAGAAGAAGAAGAAGAAGAAGAAGAAGAAGAAGAAGAAGAAGAAGAAGAAGAAGAAGAAGAAGAAGAAGAAGAAGAAGAAGAAGAAGAAGAAGAAGAAGAAGAAGAAGAAGAAGAAGAAGAAGAAGAAGAAGAAAGAGAAGAAGAAGAAGAAGAAGAAGAAGAAGAAGAAGAAGAAGAAGAAGAAGAAGAAGAAGAAGAAGAAGAAGAAGAAGAAGAAGAAGAAGAAAGAGAAGAAGAAGAAGAAGAAGAAGAAGAAGAAGAAGAAGAAGAAGAAGAAGAAGAAGAAGAAGAAGAAGAAGAAGAAGAAGAAGAAGAAGAAGAAAATGAAGAAAACCAAAGAAGAGGAAAAAGACGAGAGATGTGTCCGCAGTGCTATGATGTTGATTCTGTAGCCATTGAACAATCAGTCATCATATTAACAACTACTAACTTACATTCCTTCACTCCATGGCGAATCGTCATCATTGTGCTCGAAAGGATGAAGATCCAATCCCACTGGCTTCGCAAATGCATAGATTAAGTGAGTGCATAGTTCAGGATCGATATCTTCTGGCATAAATTTTCCGTTACCAGGGCGGTATTGGGCCCAGTTGGTGTAGTAGCATACAAAACGAAATCCTCCTAAATAAAGAATGGGAGAAATCGAAAAGTCAACGTCTTACATCCAATATGGAAGATACAGTAGAACTTTAGACACCGCACAAGTGCCTCTATCAATCTGTCTGTTTATCTCTCTCTCTCTCTCTCTCTCTCTCTCTCTCTCTCTCTATCTATATATATATATATATATATATATATATATATATATATATATATATATATATTTATATTTATATATACACACACACATACATACACACACTACATTTTGATAATAAAGTCTTCTCATAATTACTGTGTACAGCAGGTTAATAAATCACGTCGACGCAATTGCGACTGCAGGGCTGACACATAGCAACTAACGTGTGATTGTTTTTTCCACTTCATCTCACTATTGCTGTGAGAACCAATATTTGGCTCCATATAATTTACAGCCAATTTCTTATTTTGTGTGTGTGTGTGTGTGTGTGTGTGTGTGTGTGTGTGTTGTTGTTGTTGTTGTTGTTGTTGCCGTGTCAGAATAATAATTCCCCGACGCTCATCTGTTGACGACATCAAAAGAAATCGAAATCAAAAGAAAGTAGCGTGTTGCAAAACCCCATACAGCTGACTTCGAATGCAGCCATGTCAGAGTTATGAAAAGTTCGCAATCTCTAAACCAGAGACGTCGACGTCAATCAGTCCATGCAATGATTCAAGCGGGAAAAAAAATCGAAGTCTGAACAAAATTTAAAAATAATTAAACAAAATTAGATGAGACACACGAAATAATAAAATGCCCGTCGTTTATCATCCGCACTAGGTACCATGCTAAAAAGAGTGTTTTGCTACCTCACATGATCACCAGAATCAGGGATCAAGTCAATTTTCGTATCCATATAACTAATCCACCCATGTATCTATTTCTGTGCCTTTCTCTTATTCTCTGTTTACCCATTTACCAGTCGTCACTGAAGTGTCGATTCAATTTCTTCTGATAGAATGATCGAAATATACTGCCGAGTGCAGCACCATGTATGGCCTCAGCCCAGTCGTCTGGATCCGTTAAGGGAACTCGTGGTAGCGACTGAGTTTAACGCCGACAGTCCCGTATGCAGTCGAGGATAGATAAAACGTATGCGACATTGTTGAAATTACTGATTGATATCAGCCTAGCCTTGTGGATGCCCTTAATTTGGTCTACAATTTTAGTCAGCTATCTAAAAACTGTGTGTGCCTCTATGTGTACTGACCTACGGCTCTTCTGTACGAAGACATTGTGTGCTTCGCTCCGCACACGGGGCATGTCAAATGTTTGGGTTTGCAGCATTTGACCAAGTTAGCGCCTAAAGGTAAACCCATCTTAGACAGATCTGATAAGAGAGCTAAGTCTTAGTGGAGTCATATACCAAATATTGTTCTAGGGGAGTTCCCTTGCAATGCAACTCTCTGGGCTGATCCATTGTCTGTGACTGCTGGATCCTTTCTGGGCTCGCAGCTTATTCCCGGAGTCCCTGATTTGTTGTATCACCATGTCTCTGTGCCCTTTAGCCGAGGCCTTTGACCACAAAAGACGCTCCCATGGCAGCAGCGACGTTAGTCAGTTTGTGTGTATCCCATAACTTCCTTCAGTTTCAGTGCATCTTGAGCAGAATCGATTGCAGTGTCCACTTCCTCCTCGTCTTCAGCGGAGGCTAGATTTCGCTGACTATAGGATCTGCAGACAAGTTACCACTTCTACAAAATACCCACTCTATGTTGTGTCCATCTGGGAGCGCATAACAATTACAGAAATTCACGTCCATGTCTATTCGAACCCTAGACCTTAGGACCACAAGGAAAACTCTCAACCAGTTTGCTGCCCTAAGTTCCAACAGCAACATGAACATATACTAGCTGAAATGGAGAAAAGGTGAATTCAAATCTTAAGACATCGAAAATAATACGATCAGACAATATCCCAACACTGTTCGGACTTCAGGTTGACCGTCAAGGGCCCTAGTAAGAGGCCCTAGCTAACGGTTGAACAAGCTTCTGGGATTTGTACCTGGGGATTCTCATCCGAATGGGGACTCTTTAGGTCACTGGATGTTACTCTTTCAGTATGCGGTCCAAGTGGGGTTTAACTTCGCCTACTCATTCACGATACAAGTGGAGCCACCATTGGGTAGCTTCTAGACGCTAGCCTCGAGCCTTAAGGTTGAGGTTGAAGTCTGTATAGAACTGCATTTTTTTTCTTTAAAAAAATCTGCATGGCTCCCAAGTCGACATAGCCTAAATAAGGCAATAAGGAAAAGTCCGGGGAAAACAAATGTAGCCAGGCTGATTTTGCTCGCATCGCCCATCGACTGCTGATTACTCTATAAAATATACTCCCGATGGCGTGGAAATCAGCACCTTACGGGCACGACACAAGTGATGTCAACCACTAAAGACAATTGAGCGCCTGTCTAATAGTGTATATGTCAAAGCCAGACAAATATTTTGTAACCAACCTTCATTGGTGAGAATGAACTTGACTGATACATTGAACTTACCTGGAGTGGATGCAGCTTGTGAATCATCCGGTATTGCAGTGGTTGTTTCTCTTACATCTAGTCTGCATATGTAACAGTAGATAATATTATATTAGTATGTTATTGTACGTATATTTTTTTCGAATATTGTTATATTTATATGCCAACCAGCTTAATAACAATAATTTCAAAAAGCTTATTAGTGATTATATTACTGAGCATTCAAACTAGGCTGGACTTCTTTTGTCGCCATTCCCTATTTCCAAGCCAAACCCATCCCCACCCGAAAATTAAAATAGCCCAAACTTTGTGCCTGTGTATGTGTGTGTGTGTAACCCTCCCCCCCCCTCTCTCTCTCTCTCTCTCTCTCTCTCTCTCCCTCCCTCTCTCCCTCCCTCCCACACCCTTTAACGACATAATCGTTCATGGCTGGTTTCAAAGGGAAATGACTTAACATCCTCGTCAGCATTATTCCGTAACACTGCGTGCCTTTGGGTCACCAGTTGCTACTGGCGATCTGATCAGCTCCTTCAACCTTTAACTGTAACAAAGCTAACAGTCACACCAAAAAAGCCGATGAAGGAGAAAACTATCGTCTGTGACATATGTAGAAGAAGATAACGCCTGCGCGGGCAGCAACAGTCACGGAAATACAATCAGCATTAGCACACATACCGCTTTCTGTTAACCTTTTCACTAGGTCATCTTCACTTTAGGAGAGGAGTGTATAAAGACAAGACGCAAAGGCACCTGCCTACAGGGGCGCCAGAAATTGTCTTGTTTAGTTGTTTTATAAATGTGTATAATATATATATATATATATATATATATATATATATATATATATATATATATATATATATATATATATATATATATATATATATATATACATACTTACGTATATATATTTATATATATATGCACACATAATTTGCTACGGTGGTGTCGGCGTCTGCAGCTTCGGCGCTTCGTAATGCCGAAAGCAATATCACACTACTGAGCGTAGAAAAACCACAACAGCTAAACGTGCTGGGACTGGTAATGCAAAAGACCTGTAAATAATACGCAACAAACATTTGTATCGTGGTGCAGAGACTAGGCGCTCTAATTTGGGCCCAAAGACAGTGAGTTCGAAACTACATCGAGCATAAATATTGTTCATTTCTTTTCATCCCCCCCCCCCACCTCATTTTTTTTCAACAGTAGAGAGCTAAGCATTTTGAACTTCTGCTTGAAGAAAACTAAACGAATTTCACAGCTGGTGGGTATGCGTTGACAGTGTCTATGTTAATTCATTTGCAATCCATGAACCACCGAACACTTGTGACGGCAGATTGATGTGTATAGTGAGCTAAAATGATACTGAATGATGCAAACAACGAACAGTGTCGCTATGGCCAACGGCTTATTGTTGCCAGCCAATCGGAGTTTGCTTTTGGAATAGCTTGCGAACAGTAAGTATAAGCAACTACTCACGATGAATCACACATGTCTGCTGTCGGGTGAATAAAAGCGTTGTATGCAGCTGTCAGGAGTGGAAACTGTCCTTGATTGCAGGAACGGCCCAGAAAATCATCAAAATCTATCGCCCAGATTAGGATGCCCCCGTACCCGTTCTTATTGGCGTAGCAGGCCTGCAAAAACAAAAGTTTTACTTTTTTTTTAAACGTCTGATATTTGAATGAAACTATTAACATTATATGTTATGGAAAGGAGGACAGTTTAGGTAAATGGCAGAGGGTAGGACTCTAGCTCTCCCCCCCCCCTCTCTCTCTCTCTTTCTCTCTCTCCGTCTCTCTCTAGTGCCAAAAAAAATAAAAGCGTATTCTTCACAACTTCAAGGTTCATGTTTCGATTCTCTCAATTGTGTTTCGGAGATTTATGATGGACCTTCACTATGGATAAAAACATCGTGCTTAATACAACTTCAGAGGAATTATAGGTCGTTCAGATCTATATATTTCTAATCTTACCTATATGCCTGCCTGTCTATCTGTCTATCTGCCTGCCTGCTTGTCTGTATATCTAAATATCCATCAGTTGGCTAGCCTTCTGTGCTTCAAGCTATAGATCCCTCGCCGTCTCTGTCTATATCTTTTCTCTCTCTCTTTCTTTCTCTCTATGTCTCTCTCTCTTTCTCTCTCTCTCTCTCTCTTTCTCTCTCTCTCTCTCTCTCTCTCTCTCTCTCTCTCTCTATATATATATATATATATATATATATATATATATATATATATATCCAAAGATGCAATAGACATACATTTCTATTAATGTAAAGAAAACCGCCAAAATGTGTGACACTCACCATGGAATCACTCTACTCTCTATTGCTGGGAAGATAATCTTCATAATTCTTTAAAACCCACCGACCATTTATCTAGATAAGCACCTGCCGCTCTAGAGCTCATGTAGATTCCATAAAGAATGAGACACCATTGATGTCTATTATGCATATGATCTTTGTTCTACCGTTATGGATCTCACAAAGGAATTCGAAACAGTCAGCAGAAGATGCTTGTGGAAGAGTATAGCAAGGATTGATTATCCTCAAAAGCAAACATTATTTTAGAGCAGTTCATCAAGATGTGCACCTCCAGACTGCTGGAAAAGGGCATGTTATCGGATTCTATTTCTGTGAAAGCAAGGATTCGTGCGTTCGTCGATCTTGCACATCTGATGCGATAGTTGTCAGTGACTCTGATGATCATGATCCAGAAATTGTTGTAAAATATTGTACAGATGGTCAAGCGGAGGCTGCACAAGCAAGAAAGCAGAGGCTGCACAGGCAAGAAAGCAGAGGCTGCACAGGCAAGAAAGCAGAGGCTGCACTGGAAGAGAAGCAGATGTGGTATAGAAAGAGTCATGTGCCAAATCGCACCTCCATTATTTGTTCCATAAGCTTTCCGCACTGTTCAAGAAAAGATATAAAACCGAACGAAAAGTATATTAGCAAGCTGTCTAGCACTGTTCAAGAACTTTCCAGGCTCACATTCGATTCATCAGTCATCTCCGTACTAACAGTCATATTTCAGCGCTACTTCTGGATGCTAGGTGCTTGTCCTCACTTGAGATGGACGAACAACACACACGCACACAACCCTCACAAACACATACATACATACATACATACACACACACATACTATATATATGTATGTATATGTATATATATATATATATATATATATATATATATATATATATATATATATATATATATATATATATATATATACATAGTAAAGTACCCTTTTCCACACCAGAATGTGTTTAGTGTGTATAGTGCTAGACCTATGTTTTAAAGATCAATCAGCATTCGATGGGTGATGTGGTCGATACTACACCGGTCGCAATTACTTCCTAGTACTTTACCTGGTACCCATTTTCTGGGAGCCAATACGATTTATGTAAACGGTTCGATTCGGGTTTGTACCAGCAACCTTCGTGCGCGAGGGGAGCGTCAAGAACCTCCATTGCGGTGGCTCGGTGGCTCATATATATATATATATATATATATATATATATATATATATATATATATATATATATATATATATATATATATATATAGAGAGAGAGAGAGAGAGAGAGAGAGAGGAGGTAGGGGAAGAGGGGGAGATTGAAGTTCATGTTGGTATGTTGGTATAATTGGGAGTTGGACTGAAAAGAAAACGACTTTTCATGTGATTTATACAATTAACAATTATACATCTTTTTATTTTTTTAATCTTGGGAAGACACGAGGATTTCTTTTCTGGAACTGTGATTGAAATCATAGAGAATTCTGTGATTAAGCTGCCTTTATGTCTACAACTATGTAGTCGTCCATTCTGATTCGAAACATTGTCCTATTTGTAGCTTTGCATATTTTTCTAAACCGTGCGTGTATTTCATTTTTTCTCTTATTTGTGGGCTATGCCACAGTTACTGAAATGGTATTTCATTTAAAAATGTGGTGAGGTCATGTGGCCCATATGTCAGTAAACGTGTTTAGCATTCCCATGATCATGGTGTTTAGTGAGAGGTGCGTGATAGATCGTTAGGCTACTCTTTTAGATTTCCGACTGCCAATGAATTCTTTTACGTGCGCAACAAGACACACGGGCGTCCGATCTTACTACTCAGACACAAGGGGGATTTACTAGAAGTCCACGGGAAAAAAAAAATTCTTAGCCTTCACCGGTGCTTTAACACGGGACCTCCAGCACTCGAGGTGGACGTCATGCGTCGAGACCACCCAGCCCCGTGTAGGTAAGGGCCAGTAGTAAGTGGAAGAGATGGAGGTCTAATCACGTGATTCCCCCCCCCCCCAACAGCGATGTGTGCATTGCAGCCAACCTTTGTTGTGAAGATGGCACAGTCACAGCATGCCATTATTATACACAAATTACTTCAACGAATATTATAACATTTTGCATTACTCGACATGACAGACCTTGGCTGTGACACTCGCCACATCGTCGTAGCCAACCCATTGGTCGTCTTTCACAATGTAGGGATTCTTTTGTGAACGTTCCTGCACGATCTGACCGCCTTGAGCCGCTAAATCACATATCTGGAATTTAGTAACATAGAAGAGTATTGAACTGACAACAGTAGACAAAGTATTACGAAGATTCTGGAAGATCGTCGCCGGAGCTACGGAGGTCATGCTCTGTTCGACGCTCTCAGTAGGAGGATAGCTGTTGTGCGGAAAGAGACTGAGCCATATGGGATAAACCCCGGTGCAATGAAGTCGATCCTCTTAACTTTACCATGGTAGGTAAGGTAGCTTTACGTCATCAGGTTTGCAGTCTGTGTGATTTACACCTTAGAAATGAGAGACAACAGATTCAAATCCGTAAAACCCAGTTCATCCGTATAGAACAGTTATATTGTGACCTCTGGTGGCTATGTAGTTGTCCTTCTTGGAGTAGACATTGTCACAATTATATATGCTTTAGAACAGTGATTCTCAACCTTCCGAATGTCGCGACTCTTTAATACAGCTCCTCATGTTGTGGTCACCCCTAGCCTTTTAATTTTTTTTTTTTGTTGCTTTTTCATAACTTCAGTGAATATATGCTTTCCGATGCTCTTAGGCGACCCCAGTGAAAAAGTCGTTTGACCCCAAAAAGGGTTATGACCTGCAGGTAGAGAACCACTGCTTTAAATCTTAGGGTGATAAACATGTATTTAGTGTCCCAAAGTGGACTACCGATCGATTGGTCAATGGCTAGGTAGAAACTTCAAGTCGGCATCCAGAAGCAGCCTTGATCTAATGAATAATGGCATACATTACTTGTTATACGATGCAAAAAGTGCAATACAGCACTCGTAGCTCAAGAGAAGCCGTGTTAGAGCTACCTCAAGCACTTGCAAAAAATGAGTGGTGACTGTCGAGCTAATATGCAATCATGGATCACACACACTTAAGCTCGGGCGCGCACACATACACACACACACACATACACATTCGCACAATGTATGTAAGGTATTTAAACACCCACTATGTATATATATATATATATATATATATATATATATATATATATATATATATATATATATTATACACACAATATATATCTTTAGGCTATCCTGCGAATAACGGGCGCAAAAGATGGCGGCAGCACAAACACCCTAACAGAACCTCAGTCACTTATCAATTGCGCACTTCCGGTGACTTAATTTGCGGTTTTCCGGCTACTACCGCGACCGCCAAGAGTAACCCGTACGCTGCTAACGCGGCGTGGATTGGGCTAAACTAGATGGCTAGGACTCACGAGCTAAGCTGCAGGAGATGTGGAAGCTGCTGCTCGTGAGTCCTAGCCATCTAGTTTAGCCCCTATCCGCGCCACTATAGCCGGAAAACCTTTTGTGGCCCTTTTTCGGAGGATAGCCTATATATATATATATATATATATATATATATATATATATATATATATATATATATATATATATATAT